CAGCTGACGTTGTTGCCCAGAAAGGGAGCAGACATAGGCGGCGTTCTAGCTCAACAGATGAAGATTTGCGGCGAAGAGCTTGTTTCAACAGTATGCGCCTTCGACGTCTTTCAAGCTCAGAATCCAGTCAGCTGCCTCCTTCGGAAGTCGATGTGAGTGTCGACGATGAAGTATTTTACGAAGATTTCACTGCGACGGACGCTAAAGAGAAGCATCAGGCACTTCGCGATGGAGACAGGAATCAGTTGAAGGAAAACAAGACAGCATATTCCATGGGAAGCCTCTGCAACGTTGTAGAAATGGAAAACAGAAAATTGGACGAATATTCCAGGCGTCTGTCCTACGCTTTAGAAGAAAGGGCAAAATTAGAGCAAGAGTTAAGTCTTTTGCGCCGGACAGCGTCGGTTGCCAGTATGTCCGCAGAAGAAAAGTGGAAAATCTCCTCGCAAATACACTTTCGAAACGAAAAGTATAATTCTGAAAGGAGGTTAAGTACTCGAGGCAATGGAGGTAACCAATTCTCGTTTGAACAACTCAAACGTATCCAGTACGGGCACAGTCCGCGAAAATTACCTGATGTTCCAAGAGCTGTTAGTGGTAAGGGCGATGCGTTTGGCGAAGAAATACGTCCTGTAACTGAGAAAAAAGTTGAAAGGTTGCCTCTACGAAAGATCACTGAAGAATCCCCACTGCAATTGAAACAAAAAGGTAAAAGAGATGGCTATGGTTTGCCACTCAGCGACTCCGAAAAGCAAAGGAGAGAACGCAAAACGGCTGATTTAGCAGCCGATTTGTGGCAAAAGCTGTTGAAAGGGGAAAAATTTCATGTCGAGGGCGAAAATATGATTGACAAAACACGTGAAACCTCACTTGATGGGACAAGGAAGACTGGAAGTACAAGAGAAGTCACCAAAAGTGCGAACTCATCTTATGCCAAGCCTGGAATGATCCAAAGAGATTCAGGCAGAGATATTATCGGTAGATTAGCTGAAGTGTCTATCCCCACGACTTCAGGAGTAGAAAAACGAGAAAAACCACTTGTGCGTTCGGAATCTGAATCAAACCTCACACGCACTGATGCGTTTAGAAGAAACCAGAGGCGACCATTGCGTTACAAACGCCGTTCTACCTCGACCGAGGCGTTGCCTGGAGCGACACAACCTTCCACGTCGACGCTCAACGAGGCGGAAACAAACAGGCTACGGCAAGAGAAACCGGAAAAATTGGAGGGGATTCGCAGCACTGAAGCCGTAAGCCAGAATCACAGCCAATGGTTTGACTACATGTTGCCTCCGGGGAAACGTGGAAATAAAAGAGATACTGCGTTACAAAATTCACCCCAGGCTCCGGGCGCCTCACAGCAAGGAATATCTGGAGCTGAGCAATCTCTATCAGAAAAGTTGCGCTATTATCAAGGTTTGCAGGAGCAGAGATCTCGAGAAGAAAACTCGTTTGATTTAGTTGATGCCTTCATGGCTGCAGAAGACGCCGAGGCAGAAAGAGAGTATCAAAGGAAAGCTGCTGGGGAAGCGGCCTTGCTGAGAAGGGAAGCTTCACGTCTGCTGTACCAAGCAATGAACTTGGAGCGAATTTGTGATCCAAACGCTAGAGTGCGGCACATTTTTACTCCGTATTAACCTTTATATTTCCTCCTTAGCCACGTTAAAATCGTTCGAAAAAAATGATCGAGACTTAATGAAGACTTTCATGAAAACAGTTTGGCCTCAAGCGCCCAGAAATGTTTTTGTATGTGACCTAACTTTTGATTATACAAAGCAGGGTTTTTAAGAAATCGATTTCTGCTTGTAAACACGCTTAGCTTGATCAAGAAAGTATGATATCTTGACGGAAGATGTTTTCTAGTCGGCAGAAATTTCTTAAATAAGTTTTCTTCAATGCTCAGACATTTCCAACAGGTATAACACTACAAGTGGTGTTTGATTTTAACTTGTGAAAGCACATCTTCATAAGATATTTAGAATTAAGGTACGAAATTTAGGCTAATGTCCGCTAACAGTTCTTGACATCACTGCTTTTTGAAAAAGCTCTTTAAATTTTCGGGAGTCCAAAAAGAATGGCTCCTTAAACGAATAGGTTAACGAAAACTCGTGGCACTGTTTGTTTAACATTGTTGTCATGACTACTAAGTAACACCCCCACCAAAAAAAAAATTCTCTGACGTTGTTCTCGCGTACTACGTTCGACGCGAGGAGCCTGGTAATAGCAATATCTCTTCATTTCTGAATTGAAATTTTAAGATGTTTTTGTACTGTTGAGGCTAGAGAGAAAAATATCTTGAAGCCTGGAAAAGGAACATAACTGAATTTCTGCACGAACAAAACGTTGTTGGATATTTTCAACACGCAGGCAGCTTTTGTGTATCACAAAATGAATAAACTAATTTAGAAATTAGAAA